TCTTACATTGTTTATCTGACATTTCCAACTCAGATTACCTGCCGCGCCGTACGGAAGGATGCTGTTCAACCCCATTGTCGAATGGAATCGACCGCAAAGTGGGCGTGGCGCGGAATGCTGGTCACCCATTGGTCGCCGCTAGGCTATGTGGATGCGAAATTGATGTAGGCCTCCCCTCCCCCCTCATCAGTACCCTGTGAGCGTTGTGTTGGGATTCAAACTAGTTTGCTAAGATTTCTGCTGTAGTTTTAGCTTTATTTAATTTAAAAATGCTTTATGCCAAGCTTAGGTCTTATTGAGTGAAAAAAAACAACGGGGCTCCTGGGAATTCATATTTTTATGAATATGTATATATATATACTCTCTCTCTCTCTCTCTCTCTCTCTCTCTCTCTATATATATATATATATATATATATAGAGAGAGAGAGAGAGAGAGAGAGAGAAGGAGAGAGAGAGAGACAGAGAGAATGATAATAGAAGGAGGGAGGTTAATGTAAGTGGTGTGATCCACCATACATGTTTGCACGCCCAGTTAGTGTTGGTGCTCCTAATCCGATAATCACCATTCTCAGCTCTTCTTAACTGATAGCTTTATTCTCTATTATTATTATGGGATGACTTTCGTTCAAAAGTTCTCAAGATTTACAATTATCTGCCCTTCTGGTAATTACTTCCAGCTCCATTCACTCGTTTTGAAAAGTTGTTATCTCGTGCGCTCACCCTGAAACCTGTTCACACGGTAACGATACAGTACGTTAGTACGAACTATGGGGGAAAGTTACAACTTCTCAGAGTAGAGGCCACATAATTCAAGCCTACATTTTGGACTTTTTTCAGGAAAGGCGCTTAGATTTAGAATTACAATTCTGGACCATGTAGACCCCAGTGTTGCACTAGACTGTCCCTCCATCTTGTACAGGGCTGTCGTCTGTGTCTCCTCCACTCGTAGGTGTTCACTTAGTGGCTCTTAGCGTCCACCTGTTGTGTTGTAGTCTCGCTACATGTCCTGCCCAGCGGTGCTAGCCTTCTTGCTCCTCATGACGTTGTCCACTTTACCAAACGCTTCCCATCGCAGTGTGATGCGTCTGGTGATCACTGGTAGGGGACTTTCATCGTGTGACACTGCACACTTTCTGCATCATTAAGGAAGCCACACCCCCCCGCGCGCGCCTACGTACAGACATACAAACACACACACACGCACACACACACACACACACACACACACACACACACACACACACACACACATGGACACTAACACGTACATACAGATATATACACGAACATGTATACATAGACATGCACAGAGAGAGAGAGAGGGAGAGAGAGAAAGATGCACACACACACTGGCAAATACAATACAAAAATGTTTGTAGAATGTATTGGGGATGCGTTGAGTAGAATAACTGTGTAGAATTACAAATACCGCACAATGCTATGGTTTATCAGATGTACTTGGTTCATGTCATTAATTTTTCACGAATGATTTTGGAACGATTAAAAAGCTATAAATCTTCGCAGTAAAACCAGATGTCACAGACGCTCCGGCCAGACACCGAGGCAGCTCACGCAATGATCTTTCTTTTTGTTACCTGCGACCTGAAGGCCAACGCAATTATGATCACGCTGCATCCCTTCACATGAGAGTTGTGGTGTCCATAAGAATCCTTAAAGTGAAAACACTATAAAAATCAGGGAGACTGGCCTCGAAGAGAAATTAGCCGGCTAGAGATGTTCTTGTGGTCATTTGGACCCTCCATAGTCTGCCAAATTTCGTAAAAGTGTATCCATCCTACTTGCCCTTTTAGACTACTACAGACTCCGACCACGCAACCGCCAGAGGGACCATGATGTCATGCTAAGGTGGCGTGATGGCAGCGTCAGTCGTGGGCGTAAGGAGCCATGAATGCTATAAAAGGCGGGAAAGTCTGCGGTTTGCGGCACACCGCGGATCAGCTACAGCTCACAGCCACAGCCGACCGTCAACACCCCAGCCGGCGCGACTGTCGACATCCCAGCCGACCGACACAGCCGGCGCGACCGTCGACATCCCAGCCGACCGACACAGCCGGCGCGACCGTCGACATCCCAGCCGACTGCTACCGACTAAGCGACCGACACAGCCGACCGTCGACATCCCAGCCGACCGACAAAGCCGGCGCGACCGTCGACATCCCAGCCCGGCGCCATCGTCGACACCCCAGCCGACCGACACAGCCGACCGTCAACACCCCAGCCGACGCGACCGTCGACATCCCAGCCGACCGACACAGCCGGCGCGAACTTCGATATCCCAGCCGACTATCTCCCGACAAGCGACCGACACAACCTACCCGACGGTCTCCCGACACAGCTGACCATCACACCGACACAGCCGACCAAACAGCCAACAACCTACAACTGTAAGTAAAAAAAACGTTGACACTTCTACGTTGTGTGTTTGCTTCCTTCACTTTTTATGGCAGTTTTTCCCCCGTCAGATTTTTGTTAAATTTGAACTTTTTAGGTTAACTTCAGTTTCTGTAATGCTTTAGCTACGCGCACTTTAGTAGTGGTGACTGAAAAGCTATCTCAAAGCTATCTCGACACTCGTGTTGTTTTGCCCCCTACATTCCTAACAGAGATTATCCTTTGTAGCTTTTTTTTCGTTTTCAAGGCCTGTGCGTTTTTCTCTGGCTTTCTTTCTATCGAATTCTTGTACCGGTACCTTTTTCTGTAAACGGTGGCGTATTGGATACTGGGGGTATATAGGGATGTGTTACCGGATATTACTTTGAGCCTAGTGCGCTATACATGTATGTCTGGCATCCAGGCAAATTGTATCACAGGCATGCCTCAATCTCATCATCATCTCATGCCTAATTCTAACACACGTTAATTTGAAAGGACAAGTTTTCGACTTGGTCCGGGTTTCTCCTGAATGCATGGTCTCAAACTAGTCCGATCGGAATTCTAGCTCAGGTCAACGGGCCCCGGTATAGCCTGGATATAATTCTACACTGTAAGTTGAAATACATGATTGTACACTTCACCGTTTTCTGTTTGCTTCAATCCATGTCGGCAAGTTTCATGGTTATCCGCAGAATATTGTTAGATTTGAACTTTTATCAGCTTGTTTCGTGCTTTAGCTTCCCTACTTTAGTAGCCTGGAGACCATGTCTTATTGGCCTGTTTTGGAGTGTTTCGGTCCCAGTTTTTTTTTTTTTTTTGACAGGCCTTTCCTCTGGCAGTTGATCTTTCCAATCGACTTTTGCAATTACTAGAATACTGCCCTGCCGTTTTCGCGGCGATGCAATTGAAACTTTGGCCCTGGATAGAACTGAGTGGTGGAACGATATGAGGGGGATCAAGGGGCCAGTTCCTGCAGGTAGGTAGGTAATTGGGGGGAGGCTGGGCGGGCGGACACACTCTAAGCGCCGGAGACTTAGCGGGGAGCCATGATGGTCTTTTTACCAGGCTAGTACTTAGCTACCCTGTCTCATTACAACCATTCGTTGGATTTGGTTTTGCGTCTAGAGAGCGTATAACATGGAAATTGGATTGTATCGCCGGTTTACTTAAATTCAACACTTGTTAATGTAGAAAGGCTTGATCAGGTTTTCTCCATTATGCGTTGTGTCAAACTAGCCCTTACGGAAATCTGTTTCAAAGGTCGACATCCGTGTTGTTGCTTTTTCCTACTTTTCAAACAGAGGTTCTGTCATCGCCTTATTTTCGATGCATTTCAGGACCTGGGCGTTTTTATCGAGCTTCCTTTTTTGTATTGGTATATTTTTTTTCCTCCAGCCACTTTCGGGTGGAGTATTGTATACTACACTTCCAGTACTATAACCGCCGAAGGATATGCCTGAAGTGTTTCGAACTCTGAGAAGACGTTATGCGACCAGTAATGAGAAAGAGATTGACCAATCGGGTATATCGTAGCCTGGTTACCGTTCCCCCAGGCCGGCTTAGGGGTGTTTTACAGGCCCAATCTAGCCTGGTTACCGTTCTCCCCAGGCCGGCTTATGGATATTTTACCGACCCGGCCAATCTAGCCTGGTTACCGTTCTCCCCAGGCCGGCTTAGGGCTGTTTTACAGGCCCAGTCTAGCCTGGTTACCGTTCTCCCCAGGCCGGCTTAGGGCTGTTTTACCGACCCAGTCTAGCCTGGTTCCCAGCCTCCACAGGCAGGCTTAGGGGTGTTTTACTGGCCATTATCTAGCCTGGTTCCCAGCCTCCACAGGTTTATTAGGGGTATTTTACCGGCCTCTCCTGACATGTTCCCTAAAAGTACCCCCCCCCCCACACACACCCGCCGGTCACACGCCACGACCGGATGGCGGGAGGTCTGCGACACTCCCGGTCGCGTGTAAAACGGACGCTCCCCTGTTGTTTAGTGCATGATTGTGGATTATTGGCTTCAGTAGGTATGAAGTGACTGAAGCGGTTAAAACGTCCGCGGGCTAAATGTGTCCTTCAACGGGCTAGGTCCGAAATGATACCGGCGCGCCCGTAGCGGAATTTACGGGAACTGTCACACACACACACACACACAAATACTCGGGATGTGCGGGACTTTTTTTCCAGGGTATTAAAGTCCGTAAATAATTTCATCAGGTTGGTAAACGAATGAATAGCAAGTTCTTTCATCACAACCATTTAATTTTCACGAGCCGACGTTTCGATGACCGTCTGTCATCTTCATCGGGGCAATTTTTAATTAATATAATAATAACTGACAGTTGTTTTCCTATTGTTTGTAACTATTATGATTCCTAACAATACATATGTGACAAGACTGTTAATAATTTCTATTTAAGACTGTGATAGCTCAGTATTGTCAGTTAAATTTTATATTATATATAGAAACATTTTACATTTGGAACCGCATAATTCCCTATGATGTAACAATGCCTAGTATGTATGTTACAATTACACTACGTTACGGAATGTATTGTAAACAGAAAAAAATAGCTTAAGTGCACTGTGAACTATGTAACACCTTTAGTGCACCATGCTGCTGTCCATGCACCAAGTAACATCTAGCGTCAGTGCACAGTAAACCAGTCAGAATTGTCCTGATGAAGATGACAGACGGTCATCGAGACGTCGGCTCGTGAAAAGTAATTGTTGTGATCAAAGAACTTTGCTATTCAAGGTATAAAAGTTTATGAAATTCAATCGACCAACACACAGAAGGCCCTGCCCCAGACGGACGCCCGTTGTCCAACTTGGAGTGGCGCGACGCTCCCTGGAGCATGCGGTGCTGAGTGAGTGAGTGAGGCGTCATGCTCTCAGATAAACCGGTAGAACTAAAGGATGTTTCAGGTAATGATTCCCACTTCTTACTTCATTTATCCCAGGTGACCTACCGGACATCCGGAGACAGGATGGACCCGCGTGTGTCGCTACCCGTGGGGCTGCTAGTCCTTGTCCTTATGGGCACCTGCGTGACTGGTCAATGTAAGGTTTTCTTTTTTAACATTATTTCATACCGTTGCTTTTTTAAAACTTTGTTGCTGTTCATAAAGTACAGGTACACGGATGCCGAGTGACATTTTCGGCTATCGAGGAATATACGGCAATTCATATGTTTCTTAATAAGCATTCAGTCTTAAACAGTGAGACTATATCCATGTAACCAGTTCCATAAAAATTATTTAAACTTACACATCGTATTTTCCCACTGTCAACTCATTGATGTATCTTACATCCTAAAATCCTAAAATTACATCTTGCATAGTGAACATGATTGTGTAGCAATATCAGGAAGATAACACGTTTCAATTTCAGACCATAGAGGTTTGATATTTACACATTCAAAAACGAAATGTTCAGTATATTCCACAGAATCACAGACAGTACATCTACTGTTTGTTACTATTCCTTGTTTATAAAGACTGACCCTTGTTGGATATATATCATGTAAATCTTCCATTGCAATGGCCGCAATTTCGGTTCTTTAGTAATTCGAAACGGAGCTTCCCATATGGAGTAACTTGGAAATCATAATGTGGAAGACGTTTCTCCCAAAAGCTTTGGGAAATAGGTGTAGCAGCTTTTTGTAATATCAAAATATATTTTTAAGGAAATTGTTATTTTGCACCTTCACATCTTTTCCAAGTAGGTTGATTTGATGTTCTCCATCCAACTCAAATGCTAGCTTTCCATTTAGTAGGAATAGCTTTCACAAGAGCATTATACTGCACTGGAAGATTAAATTAGGGTGATTCCGTACAATATACTTAACAACATTAAAATGTATGATACTACCACAACAATCCACTACATCTTTAACGTTTTCTGATTTTTCAGCTGAATGATGTACGACATATAAAGACATATACGTATTATATATATTAGATTAGCAGAACGTAGAACGTCATGTTAGTGTATGGTTTTATACCGTCAACCAATACTTCCTGTACTCACTGTTCTTTTCAATGTCTGTCTGCAATTAACCTTTGGGCATGACCTTAGACCTTAGGTCCTCCTGTGCCTACAGGCACATTGTACAGCTTCCATCTGGGTCTAGCGGCTGCTGCCTCCTCAGCCTCTTCCCATGCAATGTTGGCCCTCTTGAGGTCCTCCTGAAAGGTTCTTCGCCAGGTGTTCTTTGGGCATGAACTTGCAATAAATCATTCTTATACAACGACTTTTCCAAGAAGGCCCTTAGTTTGAGATCATACGACATGTTTGACCGCGCCCTGATAAGGTCATTAGCGAGCAGGAGCTGCACAGCGAAGCTGTATAACCGTGAAAATTCACTTCAGTACATTTTGTCTTTTTCCAGCCGTCCGTCTGGTAGACGGAAGCGGCGCACATGAGGGGAGAGTTGAGGTGGTCTATAGCGGCCGATGGGGAACAATCTGCGATGACGGATGGGACATTAACGACGCACGAGTTGTCTGCCGTCAGCTGGGCTTCCCGGGGGCAGATGAAGCAAAAAGTAGCGCCTTCTTCGGCCAAGGCTCGAGACAAATATGGATGGATGATGTCAACTGTGCCGGAAGTGAGACCGGCATATCCCAGTGCAGCCACATAGGATGGGGCAGTCATAACTGTGGGCACCACGAGGATGCTGGGGTTATCTGTGAAAGACGTATGTGGCATCATTTCCATGTCTATAAAGTTACGCCTTGATAAATGTACAATGTACCTTAAATAAACATACTAGATATACCTATGATGCTGATAATATGACGTAAAAAGCGTTGTACATTGTCGTGGGAGTTTAACGTTTTTTCGAAGTACATGCCATACTGCCGGCACAGAATGACTGTACACCAGGTGAAAACGTTTTCCCCACATTGCCTTTAGTTTGAGATCATACGACAACTGCACGGCATTTTAAGCGGGTCCTAACGATGACTTAAGCGACCAGAAGCTGTACAACGCAGCAATGTAGACGTAAAAATTCACGTCAGTATTTTTTTTCTTTTCCAGCCGTCCGTCTGGTAGACGGAAGCGGCGCACATGAGGGAAGAGTTGAGGTGTACTATAGCGGCCGATGGGGAACAATCTGCGATGACGGATGGGACATTAACGACGCACGAGTTGTCTGCCGTCAGCTGGGCTTCCCGGCGGCAGTTGAAGCAAAAAGTAGCGCCTTCTTCGGCCAAGGCTCGGGACAAATATGGATGGATGATGTCAACTGTGCCGGAAGTGAGACCGTCATATCCCAGTGCAGGCAAAGAGGATGGGGCAGTCATAACTGTGGGCACCAGGAGGATGCTGGGGTTGTCTGTACAGGTAAGTATGCGGCCTAGTTTCGTTACGTCTTATCAAGTTACAATGTACCTTAAATAAGCGTACTAGATATGTCCATGATGCTGAGGAGATTTTAAAAAGGCGTATATTGTTGTGAGAATTTATCAGTTTTCAATGTACTAGACATACTGAATGACCACAGATGTCAGCTTATAACGTTTTCCCCACACTGTTTCTTACCTGTGTTGCCACAGACCCCTGCTACCCCAACCCTTGCCGGAATGGTGGAGTGTGCACCAGAAATGGAGAGTCCTACACCTGTAGCTGTGCGGGTGGATGGGGAGGTACCACCTGTCAAACTGGTAAGTTACTTTTTCATCAAATCTGTATCAATTACTTCCATAGAGTTCCGTAGTAGAAAAATGTTTCCAAGATGTAGTTAGAACTGGTAATTTGTGTTGCTTGTGTCCACAGATATCAATGAGTGTAGTACTGGCAGGCACAACTGTCACTCTCGAGCAACCTGTACCAACACTGCCGGCAGTTTCAGATGTGCCTGTAACGCCGGTTACAGCGGGAACGGAGTCACCTGTACAGGTAAGAACATCTCGCTAATATATACATCAATTTTTAGGTGAACTTCGATTGAGTTTCATATCACAGCTGACAATCCCCAAGATATAGTTGGCGCTGGTAATTTGTGTTGCTTGTGTCCACAGATGCCGATGAATGTGCTGATATCACAGATGACTGTAGCGCTCACGCCACCTGTACCAACACTGACGGCAGTTTCACCTGTGCCTGTAACTCCGGATACAGCGGGGACGGAGTCACCTGTACAGGTAAGAACAATTGGCTTTACATCATTTTTTATGTAGAACATTGCAAAGGAAAATGCTGCTAGATATGAGTGTGCGGATGAATGGGAGAAACCACATTTAAAACTGAGAAGTTACATCTTTTTTTTTTTAAATCTGAATCAATTACTTTTATTGAGTTCCATATTAGGAAAGAATGTCATGGATTTATTGGCGCTGGTAATTTGTGTTGCTTGTGTCCACAGATGTGGATGAATGTACAAATGGCACCGCAAACTGCAGCGCTCACGCCACCTGTACCAACTACCCTGGTGGGTTCAACTGTACCTGTAACGCCGGTTACAGCGGAGACGGAGTCACCTGTGCCGGTAGGAACATTTAGATGTATATCATTATTTTATGTAGAACATTGTAAATGAAAATGCTGCTAGATATGAGTGTGCGGATGAATGGGGAGGGATCACCTTTAAAACTGGGAAGTTACAGCTATACAATCTGAATTAATTACTTTTATTGAGTTCCATATTAGGAAAAATGTAATGGATTTAGTTGACGTTGGTAATTGTTGTTGCTTGTGTCCACAGATGTGGATGAATGTGCGGACGGCACGCACAACTGTCATACTGACGCCACCTGTACCAACACTGTCGGCAGTTTCACCTGTACCTGTAACGCCGGGTACACCGGGGACGGAGTCACCTGTACAGGTGAGAACATTCGGTTTCACAGCAATTACAGTGAAGCTTACACTGAGATGCATATCACAAAAAGACAATCTCATACATAGATTTACTTGGCACTGGTAAGTTCTAGTTGTGTTGCTTGTGTCCACAGATGTGGATGAATGTACAAATGGCACCGCAAACTGCAGCGCTCACGCCACCTGTACCAACTACCCTGGTGGGTTCAACTGTACCTGTAACGCCGGTTACAGCGGGGACGGAGTCAATTGTGCAGGTATATTGATTACTTTGTTTTTTACCACATGTAAAAAAATGCACGCTTCTGTTTGCCTTACAAATACACAGATGAAACAGGTAGTAAGGCATCCTGAATCCAAAGAGACACACCAAATGACTGTTTCCCGACAAATATTGTTGGCTGCTGTGACTGAGCGACAAAATTCTTCAGCGCTTTTTTCACTCAGAAGTAGAGAAAATGTGTTACTACTAGCTTGCGCGCAAACGAGTGGCTTTAAACGCACATACTTTTTAACTATCTTTACAGCTGTGTCTGACTTGACATTCTCCGATATCGAGATGGACCGAATGACCCTGTCCTGGAGGGCATCTGATGACGTAAGAGGGTACCGACTCCGTTACCGCCATGCCGGGGCTTCGTACCAGGACCTGTCTCCCCCGCCTGCACCGGGCGACACCCAGGCCACCGTACGCGGACTGTGGGCGGATACAGAGTACAACTTCACACTGACTGCGTTTGGAGAGGACGACGAGGATATAGGAGAGATCAGCGGAACAGAGACAACAGGTAAGTCGGTGCAATGGCATATGAGTGGAGGGAGGCTTACATGTAGTTTGTAAGTCTACAGCTTCCTTCATCCTAATGGAATGAAATGAAGCAGAAAACACGCCTCACTTGCATGGATGTGGAACCGGTCAAAGTGAATATTGGCATAAGAATAATTTTCTTGGCATGGAATAGATTGGCTGTGAACTGTGGACATTAAATACTCACTCAGACGCATGGATCATTTTTCAGCTGAAGTTATCGTGAACGTGGAGTGCCATGAGGACCACATGAGCGTGACCTTCCCTAGAAAAGCGCTGACAGAGGTAGATGTGGATACCATGCACCTGTTGAACGACACCTGCCGTGCGACATACACCGAGACGGAGGTGACTCTTCGGACCGGTCTGCAGGAGTGCGGGACGATCCAGGAGGTAAGTAGACAGTTGGAATGTACGGTCACAGGAAAAACAGAATTAGGTGAGCGGCATTGCTATGAAAATGATAAGGTGGTCCAATAATATGGCCCAAGGTGTAAGTGTAAATGCCTAGATAGCCACTTGAATGAATGCCGTTCATAACTCTTTCCATCTCAATTTTTTTCTACTTGTTTTCATAGTCGTCAGAAGACAAACTCATCTTCAGTAACGAGGCCTTCGGCAGTCCAGTCGTGCATGATAACGGCGCTGTGAGAGGAGCGACTTTCAGCAAGAGTTTCCAGTGTGAGTTCGTGAGTCAGTTCGTGATCTCACAGGAACAGAACATCCTCTTCAACATTCCGTCTCCTCGGTAAGTGCTCTCAGATATGTCAGTACATGCACAACCGCGTCTGGACAAGGGTAAGTCTGTTACGACCATCGATACTACAGTGTGAGCAAAGGAAGCTCAGCATCGCTTTTAACAGATAACTGCAGTATGATCAAACAGATAATCCAAGATAGCGCCAGATTTTCTATGAGTACAGAATCATGGCTTGAAATCCAGCTTCTGGATTTGTATTCACATTCACTCTGAATGTGTCTTAAGCATAGAATGGTTAATTTCTCATCAGCTATCTGTCTAATCACCCACATGGTTCTCTATCTGTACAGCGTGCAAGTTGTGACCGCGGAAAACCAGTTCACCTTCGAGATGCACATGTTTCCATCTGCGAACTTCGCTGAGACCTACAAGTCAGCCGACTACCCTGTGCAGGTGAGCTACTGTCTATGAAACTACAAGTCTAATAAACATTTACCGTGTGTTCAGAAATCCGCTGAACAGGGATGTTTGCTTGTCTAGGCCTTTGTTTATTCATGATTCACGATTCCGTATCAGTTGAGATTGTCATGCATGTGTGTTGTAACAATATTAACCTCATGCTTTGCTTCACCTTTACCTTGTCCCTCTGTGTCCAGGCTGGGTGCCTCATGTTGTTCAGAAATCAGCTGAACAGAGATGTTTGTTTGCTTGTTTGTTTTTGTTTATTCATGATAACTCTTGTTTCAGTTATGATCGTTTAAGATTGTCCAGCATGCATGTATATTGTAACACAATAACCACATGCTTACCCTGTCCTCCAAAAGCGTCTATCATTATTGTTCCTTATTTCTCCGTGGTTAGGTGACCCCGTCTGACCAGCTACACTTCGGACTGAGCGTGAACTCTCCTCTGGACAACCTGGAGCTGTTCGCCCTCCACTGCCTCGCCACGCCAAGTGACGATCCCGAAGCCTCTCCAAGCGTCAACATCATTCAAGACGGGTACGTTAACGTTACTCTTTATGTGACGTACGTCAAAAGTACCGACGTGTTAGAAGTCTGGGCCAATGGTTTAACCGTTCATATTCTGGTCATTTCTCTCCTATAGGTGCGACATCGACACAACACTTCAACTGAACAATGTACTGTCTAACGACATGGCCTTGTACTACTCCATCCAATCATTCACTTTCCCCAACGTTGAAGATCCAAGCCTGGTAAAATAGAGACGTGTAAACTCTGGCCTGGTGCTGGGCTGGGTTAACTGTCAGCTTAAAGTTGATTTCCATGGTATAAGGTGCTGATATCGTATGTCTAAAGTTTGTCGCTGTGCAATATATTTTGTGGCAGTCTCTCGATTGTCATAAGGCTTAAGTCTGCTATCAATCAATCAATCAATCAATCAATCAATCAATCAATCAATCAATCAATCAATCAGACTAGCCTGCATTTGAAAGGGTTACGGATAAGCAAAGTTCTAGCGTTTGGCCTCCTCATGTCTGTACATACTTTAGCCTCTGGTTGTTTCTATTTCGGTGCTTTCTAGGACAAGAGACCTTTTACAAAGTACTGGAATATTCTCGGCTACTCCCTGGTGTTTGAACAGCATAGCGGTGCACCAGATTCCTGATGTTGTTTTTCCTCCATGTCAGGTGTACATCCACTGCACCATGGTGGTCTGCTTCAAGGACGACCCGGACTCGCGGTGCAGTGAGGGCTGCATCCCCGCTACGCGACGCAGGCGCGCTGTGTCTGACATGAGCGAGGCCCGAGTGCGACGTGCGAGCGAAACGGACGAGACAGTCACCATCAGCCAGGGACCCTTCCAAGTTGTGAGAGGAGAA